CTTTCGTTATGACATTGCTTTTGTTCACATTCATTGTTATACAATAATTTCTACTAATAACTAATATAACATTATTTTTTTTTCTAATAACTAGTTAAAATAAATATTTCTCAACTAAGTGCTTAAAATTATTTTCTATCAAACTGGTTCAAAAATATTTCCTATAATAACTAGCACAAAATTATTTCCCCTACCAAATAGTGCAAACTTATTTCTCCTAATAATTCGTACAAATTCATTTCCCTTATAATCTTGTAAGAAAATGTTTTCCCTTAAAATTTTTAGAAAACTATTTCCCATATTATCAGGTATAGATATTTATATCTCGGGTGACCGTTTGTTAACCCTCATTTAATTCTTCCGTCAAAATGGACGCTAGGCACGGCCACCTTTTTTTAAATGTATTTTTTTAAAAGCCGTGGCAAATGTTTTTTTTTTTTTTGCCAGACGGTGGCCGTTGCATTATTGCTCCATTTGTAGACTGGAAGGATGTAGTTTCGTCGCCCAGCTTCTGAGTTAAGTGCATGGCGTGACACTGTGAGCTGCGTTTGTTTTTCGTTGGCTCAGGAGCGGAGCATCTGTGGGGTGACCCGTTTGCATTGAAGCTTAAACTAGGATTACCAGATTACCAGACAGCGAACAAATGTCACTTCACAAGTAACTTAAGAGAATGGTACTTAGCAATAGTAAAAGGTACATAGTAAATCAAAACGTTGTTTCCTGTTGTAATTGTAATTAATGTGGACACAAACAATTTAGCTCACAATTTATTGCCAGCATATTTCGGTGTATATCGTTAGGTGCATTACTAAAGAGTTAAGACAACAAATAATGAAAAAGAAAAATGAATCCTTTTTCGCTGAAATGCATAGACAACTTTGTCAAATCATTCTTGCTGTTGTAAACAAAAAGATCGTGTGATACATTTGTAGCACGTGGCTCATCTTGAATTTCCGGTGAAAAGATGTGCAGTAGCCAAACAACGTGGTCTATGCCTTTCAGCGAAACGGATTTATCTCGTATTATGATTTAAGTTGATTCAACATACAATGCGCCTGACGTAACTTAACGAAATAGGCCTGACATTTGATTGTGAATATATTGCTTCTGTCCACAATATTTAAATCTACATAGTAACAGTGCTTTGAATATTTCAGCTGATACCCAGGGTATGAGCATTCTAGCTAATACATAGGAAATAAAATGTCACCTGACATGCCACGATAACTAGATTATAAACATTCTGCTGGGTGATTGCAATACAAACATTATCTCTAGCAATTATAATATCAACATTGCACCTAAAATATAAAAGTAGGGAAAGTAGGAATAGTTACAGTCAAGCTAATATCTAAAACTAAATTCTATAAACTATAACTAAAAATCGTATAAAGGCGAGACGTTGGTGGTGGTGGAGGGAAGGGGGTGTCATATACAGAAAAGCAATCGAACGTTTCGGAGAAAATCCTCTCTGGTTGAGTTTCTCCTCATTTTAAAATGTGAGATTAAACAGGTTTTCTGTCTATTTTCATTCTCCCGGCTGCAGTCTCAAGGTTCGGCTACTGGTAACTCCAAGAGACTCTCGTCAATGACAGTCCAACAGGGCAACTCTTGGACATCCCTTTCGGTCTATTAATGAACTTATAATTAAGGCAGGAGTAACGGCTACATCTGGTGCTGCCCTAGTCTATTCAGCTACCCTGTCTTCTTAAGCTGAACATAGAGGACAATGGTTCATAAAAAGCATCCTATCTCGAAATCTGAGATATTTTGTCCACGGAAAACGTCATTGTGGTGTGACGAGAACTGTGACTGTGAAGAAAGGGGGAGGAGGGGGGGGGGTGTCAACTTCCAGACAACGATGCAGAGGCAAACTTAACGAACGTGACTGGACACAGGACACTGAAGATGGATTGACCATGAAAGCGCACATTGCTCGAGAACTGGTTAGAGAAAGAAAGACGTTCAAAGGTGCCGTGACGAGAGCGACGTTCTGTAGAGTACCTGCTGATTGATAATGATGTGCGGTTAAGGCTGTGCAATAATTTGTTTTAATGATGAACCTCTGTGCTTATCAGTGGCGTTCAGCTGTAACTCTGTGACCAGTAGGTTAGTGAATGCGATTCACAACTTCACAAGTTAAGACCTATACAAACTAGATCGCAGATTATTTTGTAACGGTTGGTACCAACCAGAACACACAGAAGTCAGCCGGACTGTACAGCTAGAGTGTACAGCCGGAGTGTACAGCCGGAGTGTACAGCTGGAGTGTACAGCCGGAGTTTACAGCTGGAGTGTACAGCCGGAGTGTACAGCTGGAGTGTACAGCCGGAGTGTACAGCTGGAGTGTACAGACGGAGTGTACAGCCGGAGTGTACAGCCGGAGTGTACAGCTGGAGTGTACAGCCGGAGTGTACAGCTGGAGTGTACAGTCGGAGTGTACAGCTGGAGTGTACAGCCGGAGTGTACAGCTGGAGTGTACAGCTGGAGTGTACAGCCGGAGTGTACAGCCAGAGTGTACAGCCGGAGTGTACAGCTGGAGTGTTCAGCCGGAGTGTACAGCTGGAGTGTACAGCCAGTGAACAATGTGCATGTAGAGAGCATGTCTGTCGCATGTGTTCGCGAGTGACATTCAAACCAGGACAGGCAATCAGCGATTAAACATTCGATGACTCAAAGTGCAACCATTATATTGAGAAACCTCTGTGCAAGTCTTAGAGATCCTGTTCAACAGTTTGGGTAGGGTTTTAGATTATGACAAATTTTCAGTATTCTCTGGTGCCTGTCCCCAATTTCTAGTCTGTGTTTGTCCAGTTCATCATCATCATCATCCTTATGTGCCCTGCCAACTGGCGTAGGAGCTCATGCATCTCCACAGATCACGATGCCTGGTTGCCTGGAACAGCTCTCTTGATGATATCCCCCCATGCCATTGTTTCAGCCCATCCAGCATCATCCCTCTTTTCCCACTGATCTTTCCAGTTGTCACAATGTTCTCCAATGTTTCTCTTCTCATTATATGGCCAAAGAAGAGTGCTTGTCTCTCTCTTAGTGTTGTATATATAGAGATCTACTTTCATTAGATATAATGATCTGTTTTTTGGGGTGACAAGGTTGATCTGGTCTTTAAGGTTGTGTCCCGCATGGGGATTATTATAAATTAGTTGGTCTGACCTCTCTGGAATTATCGATTAAATGAAGATTGGCCAAAAAATTCTTTTCGCAAATCTAGGGGAAGCAACCGAGTTTTTAAATATTTTTGAATCACGATTATCTACCCCTTTCAAATACTACTGAAAAAATCAACATTGAAGCTTATATATTACTGTTTTGAGAAGCCAGACAAGTGTTAATTTCGGGTCGGCGCTAAATTTGAAGTTAATTATTGTTGATAATCAATTCCTTATAAATCTGTCACTTTTGCGTATATTAATGAGATATCAGCTTGCTTTTTATTACTGAAATTATTATAGCTGTTTCGTACTAGCGCATCTTAAGTTATGGCCAAACAAAAATGGCCGATCGAAAGTGTAGGCTTTTACAACCTTTAAATTACTATCTAGTATGTAGCTTATGTGTGACCGATATGGCTTTGTTTTGACGTTGTTATTACATAATAATGCTTAGTATAGCGACTTGAAAAGTCAACAAAACAAGGTCCCGATAGTCTTAGGTGTTACACTTCGATTTTCTGCCCTCGTTACGTCCTCGTCAGATCCGTAAAACTAACACTAATATTGACATGTTCAAAAGGTGTGGTCCCACAGTGTGGACAACAAATGTCACCCAACAGCCATCGTCTGTGCGGTATGGTAAACAAATTAACATCTATTGATTGGCAGTCGAAGAAAGAAGTAGGAAGAGGAAAACCCATTAGACAAGATAAAAATATAAAAACCCCCCCCCCCCCCCCCCCCCCCCCCCCCAAAAAAAAAAAAAAAATATATATATATATATATATGTATATATATATATATATATATATATATATATATATATATATATATATATATATATATATATATAAAACTGAACGAAAAGTATATCAGTAAGCCTCGCAATATAACAAACTAAAATAAAACGTAAAACATTGCGGCTAAGGAGCTTTAATCAGCACATAATAAATAAAAAAAAATAACACACAAATAAACAAATTCACTTAGTTTAAAATCTCGAAGCAGCCAGGTCGATATCCTGCCAGTAGATAAAAATATAATCTGCGCATCATAAATGCTGTTTGCTTGTTTTCTAGCTTAACCTATCAGCGTCTGTGGTTCAGGCGTTGCGAACATGCTTGGCAATTCCATGATGCAGGGGTAGATCCCAGGGCGATTTGGCAGCAGACCGTCTTGTTTTTTTTTTTTTTTTCCGATAGCGGTATTAATAGCCGACAGTACAGAGAGCAATGACAAATCACTTAACGTAAAACTGCCTAGTAAAATCACAAACAACCTTATAAGGTTGATATATCATGTAAAGCAGTGTTCTTCAATTGATGGTCCATGGCCCACTGGTGGTTGTGGTTCAGGGGGTGGGCGGTGGGAAAGATTGGATGGGCGCCCAAACATTTCTGCCTTTTCATGTAAAAGGTGGGAGTAGGGGTAGGGTAGCTATTTTTTCTCTTCCAGTTTAACACTTCAATCAAAAGATGCGAAAATTGTAATTATGTGTCATCGGATGTAACAAATAAACTGATTAGCTGTCGGGTAATCTGTAAAACAACTTCCCCTGTTTTGGTGGGTAGTGGATGTGAAAAAAAAAAACAGTTGCAGAACACTGCTATAAAGGATGGAAGAGTTCTTTGTTTCTCGATACAGAGAGCGCTGTAGCAGGAATTATGTTGTTTAAGAACTAACACATACGATAAATGCAGGGGGGTAGGTACATTTATAGTTACACATAATTTAAAAATAAAAAGTCCTTTACTGTATTTTTTTTTCTTTTTACTCCAGAGACGATTAGATTGGTCGAACCTCGACAGATCAAAATTCAAGCCAGCTATGTTTAACCCCCGACCTCTTCAAGGGGCCAGTCCGTCCTTGACCCTGCGACCCAGCGCTGAAAGATCGGTAACTACACACATTTTTGACAATGTTTAGACTGGTTTGTTTGTATTTCAGACCTAGGATTTCATTTGTCTCTTGTATAGTAGATTCAGGGTGCGGCAGACAACCAAATAACTTTAAAATTAAGGAATCAAGAGTCATACCTGGAAATGTGTATGAACTGTAGTCATTCTCCACTAATTCACCCCTCAGTGGGCTGCCACTTTCCTGTCTAGTCTTCACCTTCCAAATGGTATCATCTTTGGGGGTGGAAACCATGTATCAAGCAGATGAACTTCCGGTCAATATGGCAGATCGGCACGCTTAATGTTTTTAGTCCTAGCAATTGTTTTTGTGTGCTTCTGATAATAAGTTGTTGCATGTTCCTCCATATTTTTAGGAAAGGGTTGGATTTTCCTACCTATTTTGATTTAAAGGATATAGTTCTGTCGCCCCGCTACTTAGTTAAGTGCATATCATTAGACTCTGACCTGCTTTTCGAATATCCCAAACGTGTTTATGATTGTAAACAACAGATTCGGAAAATTGCGAGTGACAATAACCTAGTGACAGAAAGCCTGTGGTGCCTTGTGCAATGAATTGTTTGTACAATTACTGATCTGTTGTAACTGCTCCTTCCATCGACGATAAACTGCATTTCTTGTATCGGACTGTTTGGTTTGGCACTTGTAACGGCTGCCTTATGCATTTAATGCGCGCATGTATGAAAGTCGTTGGTTTGCTAATGGACGGCGTCGTTTCGTCACGAGTAAAATTACCATGGACATCGCCAGGAGTTTCCATTTGAGTCATGAAGTTCGTACTTCATGGGATGCTCTCTGGGGGTTGCTATGCCCTGTTCGGGGGGACAATCCAACGCGGTGAAATGCTGGTTGCAATTGAGACGATCCTCACTTTTCAATTCAAAATTTTCAGACTGTATTTATTAGCTCTTCTTCTTCGAGTTCACCAGCTGTATACTTCGAGTTCACCAGCTGTATACTTCGCGTTCACCAGCTGTACACTTCGAGTTCACCAGCTGTACACTTCGGTGGAAAGTCTTGTTTTTTCGTCCACTTCTGGGCTTAGGAACTTGAGAACTTGAGTTTAGCCTGTACATCCGTTCTACAGATCTGACTTATTTGTGTGTGTGTAGTCTCTTGGTTCAGTGTCTCTCAGGCAGATGCACTCCGACTTTGAAGGAAGCACCCCTACCTAATTAGTGGACTCTTATGACATGCTTGTTGGGGAGGGGGAGCAGTAGGAGTACTCCTTTTCCCATCCAACGATGGAGCCGCGGAACCCCTGAAAATAGTTATAAGTGCAAGTGGAGCATACAGTCGCAACTATTTTTTTTTTTTTTTGCAGCCAGCAAAGTTCTGCGAGAACGGACGTGTGTACATCACAGATCCCACAACAGGTCAGAACGTGTGTTTGTGCCAGCTTGAGAATCACTCAGCCCACAGCTTTCAGAGCCACCCAGCCCTCAGAGGGCTGCGGGGGCTTCCATCCAGACCCAGCTTTGGGGATATGCACAATTATCAGACACAGGTAAGAATATTAAATCTCAATAAAGATAATCTAACAAATCAGACGTGTCTGCTTGCTTAGATGTTTTAACATACAACAGATAATCTACTGAAGACGAAATCAGGCGCAGAGCAAAGAAAAAACGCAGCGCTAAAATACAAAGATAAAGATACAGACAGAAATACAAGAGCAATATTGGGACTCGTGAACACAAATAGGATCATCATCATCAAGTACCATACAAGCTGGCGTAAGCGTTCATGCATCTCTGCAGATCTCGGTCTTTGGTGTTCCGGATCAGTTCCACTGATGATATCCCTCCATGCCACAGTCTTAGGCCACCCATCATTTCTCTTGGTCTGCCTCTGCCTCTTCTACCAGTGATCTTTCCAGTCGTCACGATATTTCCCAGTGCTCCTTTTCTCATCACATGTTCCAAGATCTTTGTTTGTCTTCTTCTCATTGTTGTAAATAATGTTCTACTTTTATTAGCTATTTCCAAGCAATCATTGCTAGTTATTCTGGCAGTCCAGCGTACTCGCAACATTTTATCTCAATAAACACATCTCAGTCGCCTGCAGACTCTTCCTAATTTGTTTGCTCACATTCCGAGATTCATGAATTAAAATAGGATGAATTTTTTTTTTAAAGTGAGAAGATCGGAGGAATGTCTGGACAAATACCTGTGTTGCCTCCAACAGGACAAAGAAAAAGGAGATATACTGGGCACACTCTGAGACGATATAGGCAAAGGATTACACAATAAGCACTGAAATGGGAAACAGATGGGCTAAGAAAAACAAAAAAAACGGACGTCCAAATAAAATATTAGGAAAAACACTATTTCAAGAAGCTAAAAACGCTGGGCTGAACTCCGTGTCAGGAATCGAGAGTTTCACGAAGGATTTTCATGGTGGTTTTATACACACACCCACCCACACACACACACACACACACACACACACATACACACACACACACACTCACTCACACACGTACACCCACTCACACACACTCACACACACACACGAAGGACTTTCATGGTGGTTTTATACACACACACACAATACACACACTCACTCACACACACACACTCACTCACACACACACACTCACTCACACACACACTCAGACACACTCACACACACACACACATTTAAGAGAAGTATAAAGATTCAGAGAGAAACAGAGAGACTTTAGAAAGGGTAAAGAGATAAAGATAAGACAAAGAAAGAGAGAGAGAGAGATAGTGCAAAGATAGAGGAGGGGAGAGAGAGAAAGAGAGAGAGAGTGCCAAGAGAGAGGGAGAGAGAGAGAGCGCACCAAAAGAGAGAGAGAGAGAGGGGGCGGGGTGGGGGGAGAGAGAGAACAGATCAACTGTCTACGTTCGAATGCTGAAAGAATATACGTTTGTCCAGTCATAGATTTATATTAGTACCTTCCCAGACACTATACGAAAATCATCTTTCTCTACCAGTTATCCACAATGACGTCACTAACAGAACCGGCCAATGGACTCATGCATGCCCAACTGACCTATCACCCCTACGGCCCAATGTAAGTATGAACTGTTTCATAAAAGGCCTTCTATGATAAGTATAGGACCCTTTTCACGCCTACAGGTGAATTGGGAATATGAGGCTATACCTTATACAATACATACACTTATTTCCTTTTCATATTTTGTATATTTCAAAGATAGTTAAATTGATGAACGTAAGGCGGTAGGAATTTTTCTTCTTCTTCGCCTTCTCCGGCTGTAAACTCCTGCGGAAAGTTCTTGTTGTTCATTCATCTCCGGACTTTTGTCTCGTTCTAGAATCTTGGTGCTGGATGCGTATCCGTTTTACAAGTCTGGTTTATTTGCAGACTGTTGGTTCCTTGCTTTCCATACAGATGCACTCGGATTTTGAAGAATGCTCCTAATTAGTCGACTCTTACGACATGCAGAGTGGGGAGGCAGTGAGTCTGCTCTTGTATTACCCCACAGTGGGCCCCCGGAACCCACAATAGAGCCCCAGAACCCACAGGGAGAGGGGTGTATTCAAGACAGACAAACAGATAAGAGAAATGTCTTTACAACCGCTTACATCCAGAGTTATGAGACTGTGGAAGATAAGGGACCCTCTGTCACGCCTTCAGAAGTATTGAGAACATAGAACTGTACCTATATTTTATAGAGCAATCGGCACCGGTGGGGGATGTTGTCGGCAGTACACCGGTAGCCTTAACTTCCCAGGACTTTACCTGGTACGCATTTAAGGCTAAATCGAACTGGGAGCCAAGGTCATTAGACAATTCCGGCTCCGTCTTACTCGCAGGCGAGGGACTAGCTGATACACCACGACGGATCCCTCAGACAATGAAGCTGGCCTGATGTTGGGCACATCCTGAGAAAAAGCTATATCTAGTCATCCCCTTGTGGCATGCATTTTTTTGTTATTTGAAGCCCTACTTTGGCTCTCGCCAGGGGCCGCAATATAGCCCATCCATAATTATGGCTTAATGGCTGAACGCGGTTTCTGGGACCTCTTCACAGGTGATCCTCATCCACATGGTGGCACTTTGTGTCATCGGGTGTTTATCGCTTGTGTGATGTCCTAATGGGGTAAGAGAAGATAGATAAAAAGCTAGTAGAGAATCACCAAAAGTGCACTGGAATGAGAAACAAATGGATTGAGGAGACCGTAAATCAGACGCAGCTAAGAGAAGCAAGAGGTCCTTGATTAGATTCCACAAGTAACGTCGCAAAGATTGCACATGATACAGAGATTCCATGTCTCTATGATTGCAACCATTAGGATAATGACGTAGGATTTGGTTTTACTCATTACAAAATCTATAGAGTCTAGATGTCTCTGAAAAACGTCATTATGTAGAACAATAGTTTTGGAAAATCCTGTTTTACTGTCAAATTTTACGCCTATAGTCGTCTTAAATGTGATCAATTAGTGTGTCCTTATTGGACATAAATAAATAAATAAATCCATATGCAGTTACAAAAAAACGGCGCAGAATAGACAAAGAGCGGTCGTTTTAATTATTTCAGTTACGCACATCTGTTGGTAAAAGTTTTGCTTCCGGATTGAACTAGAAATATTGTAAATTACTGAATTTTTTCTCCACCTACTGGTGTATGATTCGGCTCTGTGGCTAAGTCGATGCGAACGCTTCGTAATGCCGGGGTGCCGGGTTCGATCCCAGCTGCGGGCTATGCGCCTCGCATTGGTTTCGACAGTGGTATCAGGGAGCCGACCGTTAAGAAAGCAATGACAAACTACTGGACTTAAATTTGCCTAGAGAAACCACACAACAGCCAGGGGCTGCTAGGGTTGGTTCTGCAACGTCCTGTAAAGGATATGCAACTAACTAACTAACTAACTAACTAACTAACTAACTAACTAACTAACTAACTAACTAACTAACTAACTAACTAACTAACTAACTAACTAACTAACTAACTAACTAACTAACTAACTAACTAACTAACTAACTAACTAACTAACTAACTAACTAACTAACTAACTAACTAACTAACTAACTAACTAACTAACTAACTAACTAACTAACTAACTAACTAACTGGTGTATGATCACAGACCAGCAGACCAGTAAGCAGTCGATGAATGATCTGGTTCAGGATTCTTCAGCTGAGCTTACTCCGGGGGCCAGAATGCTACAAATGGAGGATCGACACGAGCCCGTTCGAGCTGCAGTGTAGAAAAATCATTAATAGAATACAACCCTGTATTTTCTGGGCCCCATTGTGGGGGCGACAAGAACAGACCCACTGCCGACCTAACAAGCATGTCGTAAGAGTCATCTCATTCTGAGCTTCCTTCGAAATTGGTGTGCATGTGCTTGAGAGGCAAGCGACCAACAGGCTGCATATAAATTAGTGTGATCTGTAAAACAGATGCCCACGCAATACTCAGTTTCTGGATCAAGACTTCAGACCAGAAGGGGACAAACAACCAAAACTTTCCGCCAGAGTTTACGGGCGATGGACGCGAAGAAGTAGAACTGGCAATGATCAGCGAGCCATTTGCTAGGAACCTGCAGATCAGATTCGGACTGCAAGTCTGCACTTGAAAAGTGCTGGTTCATGCAGTGTAACATCAATTTCTTTTATTTCCTAGAACATTTCCGGACACTCACAGATCAAATTGAGTCCTTAGTTGGGTAGCCGCGGAAATGTAGTGGCTAGATGCTCTTCTGTAAAGTAAAAAATAAGGACACTTTTCAACGCCTCCAGATGTACTGCGCACACACCGCTAGAGGCACTAACTCGGGGACTCCTTCGAAGACGAAACGCATCTGCCCGAGAGGCAAGGAACCAACAGTCTGCATACAATTAGGCCAAATCTGTAAAACCTTTCTACACGCAAAAATAAAGACCTCGAACCCAGCCAAAGTATTTAAATGGACGAACAACCAGGTTTCCCACCGGGATTTACAGGTGATGAACGCAAACAAACAAACAAACAAACGGGGTGCCTGTTAGTATTCTCTTGGCTTTTAATCTGGGTAGTTTCTCCGTGAGTTACTGGATGTTATTCTTTCATCCAGACACCCAGCAATCATCCAATATGTCAACCATTCAAGCCATTAACCTCTAGCCCCAGTAAACACCCCGTCCATAATCTATTTGAATAACCAATCACCTAATCCATGAACCACGCGAACAACTAGCCGTCCAAACAACCAACCGCCCAACCCCCTTACTGTCGAACTCACCATCCATCCAAACACTCGACCGAGTAATTACACAACCTAGTAAGCCCTCCACAGAACTAGATATCCAATCCACCGACCATCCAGACAAATAACCACCCAACCCAACATTCACTCATCTAATGCACACACCGTCCAAGCAACCAAATGTCCTAGTCCCCAACTATCCAATTCACCAATTATATGTTCTTACCCACTCAGTCTACCTCACTCCCCCTATTCAATTACTCATTTCTGAATGTCACTATTTTCCCGCCATTGTTACATTCTAGTAAAGTCGACGGCTTA